CAATTTTTGAATCAGTTGAATGGGACGAACCGATAGAACAGAATCAGTGGTGTTTACCAACTGAGATAGACGATTCCCTCGTCAGTCGAGGAATTCGCAGTGCCACTGTGGTAATTTCTATGAGGAATTTGAATCGACTATTGGTTTTCTCACATTTCCACCATTCATGCAAGTTGTGAGAATGATTTTTTAAATAGTTTAAGAGCACAACTATTAATGTTTAAAATTTCTAAGATAAAAATAGGAGAAAGCAAAAAATATCGTGAATATTTCACATTTTTAGTTTTAATATTCATAGACTTCTCTGGAAACTGAAGAGGAATTTCTACTTCTCAGACTCCCTGTCGTTGTTGATGTCATTCTGCTGCGTTCTATATCTGAATGCTATTTAGAAATGATATTAGAAACCTTTAGCATTAACTCATCATATAAAATTCTTTTAGGCCGTGGCTATCAAAGCACATGGGTAGGCATGAAAAGTAAACGTATTCATTACAATGATTCTGATTTTATGAGAAATTCGTTGATATTTCACAACAGATTTTGCAGTACTAATGCACATTATGCGTCAAATACAAGCTTCATTGTACATGATTATTCATCAACAGCACGAAAAATGCATGCTCACTGTTGGAACGACACAACAACTTTCGATAATCGTTTGTATCGAACAACTCCAGACGTTTGTGGCTATACTGAATGTATTTCTCCATATCGCCTGAAAGATGGAAGTCCTGAATGTGAAGGATATCCAGATGAACGTCAATCTGTTCAAAGCTCATGTGAATCAAATCGAAAATATCGTTTTCAATGCTTAGAGGACAAAGAAACATGTATATTAGCCAGTGAAGTTTTTGTATTTCGTGACAATTGCTCAAATACTATTCAAAATGGACTACCGCTTTCATCATTGGTTTGTAAAACACGATATGATCCAGATTGTCCAATTTTGAAGCATGCTATTGCTATGTCATCGGATAAAAAGCAATCATCATTATTTAACTCGAATGTAAATAGTGAACCAAGCTTTAGCAACAAAGTACCTTCATTTCACCAGTATTGTGATACTTTCTTTGATTTTAAAAGTGGCATGGATGAATCACATGAAACGTGTCAGAACTGGATATGCTTGAAAGAAGAATTTCAATGTTTAACAGGACAATGTATTCCGATTCAATGGATTTGTGATGGTCAGTATTTCAACTGAAAAATAACAAAAAAGCAATAAGTAGTTTTCAATACCTTTATCTACGATTTTCAACGGGACGTACATATCATTCCGCTAAAATAGATCATTTAAGCTAGTTGTTTTAAATTCTTTGGAGTTGTTCGTGTTATCTTTTCGAAAAAATAACGCAACTGTCTGGTATTATATCTTTAATCAAATTGAAGGGTAAAAATTCTTCGTAGAATTGTAGTTTTTATATGATTGGTCGATCGGAATTCTGCAAAAATTGACGCTTATCATCTAATCAAACGAATTTTTAAGAGCATAAATCAAAATATCGAAATTATGCTTGACGTACCTGAGAAAATGCAACTATCGCTTGAGAATTTTTGTCTACTAGAACGAAGCGTAATTTAAAAAGCAATGCATTAGATTTAAGATTTCCAGTTTCACATATCGTTACTGTAATGTTAAGAAAAATTGTCGAACTTTTCTCGTGATAATATCAGCTTCGTGTATTTGCCATATGTGCGTGTTCGGCTTGTCTATATGGTGGAAAGTTACTTTTACCAACAAGTTACGTTTCCAAGTAATTAGTTGGTAACGGTAATTTTCCACATCCAGACTCGATTCTAACTTCTATCATTCGATTTTGTTTCAATGCACTATAGATCTTGAGTACAACCAAGTAAACATTTCAAGATCAGACTCTTGATTGATGTTTTTTTGTCGTAGGTCAACGGGACTGTAGTGATGCATCAGACGAACAAAATTTTCCTCGATTTACAGATTTAAACGATCACAATGCTCAATTGATAAGTGGAACTCAATGGGCGAAACTAAACCAACAATGTAAGATTAAATATAGAAACATAAACCAACCATTTTCAAAGAGATGTAATATGGAACTCGAATATCCTTGCTTAGTAGCTAAGGTCAATGAACCATGGAACTTTGATACGTATCCTCCGTGTATTAATCTTTCACGTATAGGTGATGGTATCAGTGACTGCTTGTATTCAGATGATGAACGGAATATAATGAGTTGTCAAGGTAATGATTGGATGATGGGTTTCAATCTTCGATGTGAAAAATCTCAGAAATGTATTAATTATGACTTACTGTGTAAGAACCTAGAACGGTGTCCACAAGGCGAAGATGATATATTGTGTCGTTATAAACTACGACCATCGAATATGTCGTGTTTTGAATCAAAGGATTTTCTATGTTTGAATAATACTTGCCTATCGAATGCTCGATGTAATGGAATCGTTGAATGTGATGATGGTGAAGATGAATATTGGTGTTCGTCTGATTTATCTTACCCGGCCGTTTATCGAAATCAAAAGTTGATGAAACACAACAAACCGCAGATGATAACACATGCTTTCTATCCCATCGAGAAACATTCAACAGAAGTATTGAACATCAGCGAAACGAGGGTAGTTTCATTTGAAAATAAGCACACAAGACAATCCAATGTTCATTATAAAGATTATATTCGTAATTTACTTAAATCGGATCCGAGAAATTATTATTTGCCATTTGTTTGTGGTAATGATGGACTCGCCGTCAAATATCAACAAGCAACAATTTGTTTCTGCCCACCAAATTCATATGGCGATTATTGCGAATATTCAAGTGATCGCATAACAATTTTGACACATTTAAATTTTGTTAATTATAAAATAATAAACAGTCGAACAACTATTCAAGTATTATTAACATTTTTATATGAAAATCGAGTCATTGACACGAATAAATTTCACGTTCAACCGCAATTACAAAATAATGATATTAATTATGTTAAACAAAGAATTTATTTTGTATATCCGCGTACAAAAGAATTTATTGATCAAAAACGAGCATCTCGGAATGGCACACAAAAGTATCATGTACGTTTCGAAGTATTTCTCTTAAATAATTCAAATCTTACATTACTGGATGTTTGGGATTATCCAATTTATTTTGACGTTTTACCCTCTTATCGTTTAGCGAAAATTTTAAAACTGGATTCATCCAGAAGTAATCTTGTTAACTGTTCAATATGTGGCGATCATGGTATGTGCCATGCCATCGTTAATAATAATAAGTCGACTTATTGTAATTGTCACAGTGGTTACTACGGTCAATATTGTAATCATTTTGACAGCGAACAATGTCAAAAGGCATGCTCTTCAAATTCCATATGTCGTCCAAATCAACGTGGCATTTTAAATAATGGAGAACGAAAGCCATATTGTCTGTGCTTACCGGGTTATTACGGATCGAATTGCTATTTGAAATATAAGCCATGTGAAAACCATTCGTGCGAAAATGGTGGTACTTGTTTTATAGATTATACAATGGATGATATTGACCAAATCCAATGCGTATGTCATGATTCGTTTTACGGAACTCGATGTGAACTTTTAAAACATACCATATACATTCAAGTTCAACAACCAAGTCAATTATCAGACGTTATACAAGCAACCGTGGTACAATATTACGATTTAAAAGAATTCAAATTTGATATGTTTATTCGTGAACAACAATTGTATAGAGGACACTTACCATCCATAATTCAGTTAAACCATGGTCGACTATTTGCTCCTGCAATATGTTTGATTAGAATCTACAGTGAAAAAGAACAAGAATTCCCGAACTATTTCATTGGATATAGCCGACAAAATCAAACAACTATAAATATAACCATAGCTTTAACAGACGAAACTGAATGCCGTCATGCACTGGTTTTATTGAAAGGTTAGTCTCTAATGTGATTGTTGATGGGAATAGAGCATAGATGTCCATGGTGGCTGAAAATCTATCGCTGCGGCACCGCTATGCTTAAAAAAAAAAGCCACTGCGTCGCTGCTGCGACGTTATTAATAGTATGATCTAGAGAAGGCTATGTATTCATCAATAATTTCAAGTATTATACATTTCTTTAGGAAAAAGTAAAATGCAACTGTCCAAAAGTCCAACCACTACCATGCCGCCATGGACATCTATGGAATATAGTAACGCAAGATTCACGTCCACCCTAAATTAGTTATGTTTTATTTAAAAGACCTTTTTCTCGAAATCTTTAAAATTAGTTGAGTTTTCGCTCCAAATGAATGGACACTGTTCGGAGAAGGCTTTTGCATGCTTTTTCGCAAGTCACACCTTTCCATAAGATGCATAATAGGTGATAGCAATTGACCTTGAAAGTAATCTTTTTTGCATGGTGCACAACTGTTATATGTATTGTTAATGGTATGGTTTGCCTATACAAAAACGCATTGGTGCATAATTCCAGTCGCTTAAAAATTGTAATATTTAGCTTCCAAATAAATTTTGCTACGTTACTTGAAACTTAAGTGTAGTATTTTCCTTCTACTTTGTCGTTAACTTTAGTTTATTGCAGTGCGAGGAAAGCAATCAAAAGTATTCATAAAATTTTAGAGAATGAAATTGCCGTAACTGCCAGCAAAGCTGTATTCTATTACCATCAGTTGTGTCATCAACAGTTCAATCACACATTAATATGTTTTCATGATGATAACTATTTTTGTTTATGCAATAAACAGAAACGTGCAGACTGTTTTAGATACAATCTCAATCTTGATTCATGTTCTCGTTGTTTGTCAAATGGTCGATATGTTTTGGGAGATCTACAAAATTCAACTGATTTCATTTGTCTATGCCCACATTGTCATTACGGTCAGTTATGCCAGTACAGCATGAAATTGATGGGTTTTACACTAGAATCCCTCATGATAAAAGATTTATCCAATGAAAAGAGTAAATCAACATCGATTGGTCTTTATTCCAGCATCATTGGGCTGCTGTTTTTGATCGGCTCTATCAATAATTTGCTGAGTCTAATGACTTTTAAACGACCAAATCCTCGTAAATTCTCTGTGGGTACTTGTTTATTGATTAATACTGTGATTAGTCAATGTTCATTAGTCATCTTATTTATCAAAATCGTTTACATTTTGATGAGCTCAAGTGATTTTTTCTTCAATAACTTAGTAAATCTTGCTCTCTGTAAAATAATCTCGTACCTTCTGTCAGTATTTACAAGGATTAATTATTGGTTAACTAGTTTGATCACAATACAACGACTCAGTTTCCTACTATATCCAAACAATACCGTCATGAAACAGTCAAAAACAGCATATATCTGCTCAGCAATTATTGGCTTAGTCATATGTAGTATGCATATTCATGAATTAATATTTTATACTGTTATCAAAGATCCAAAGGATCATCAGATCACACTATGCGTAACTAATTACGCAAATCAAGCATGGTCACTTTACAATCAACTATCAATTCTCACTCATTATCTTGTACCGTGTCTGATTCAGTTTTTGTCTGTTACGATTCTCATTGTAACCACCGCTGGTTATCGTGCGCGTGCTAAAACAAATAAAAGTTATCGAGACGTATTTGTTAAACAATTTCAAAGAAACAAAACATTATTTGTTACACCATTAATCATACTTTTCAGTGCATTACCACAAGCCATCATAGCCTTCACATTGGCATGCAGTGAACTAAATCAGTCATGGCAAAGATACACTCTCTTATCCGCCTACTTTCTTTCTTATTCACCTCAATTACTGAGCTTCATTTTATTCGTTTGGCCATCTTCTGCATACAAGAAAGAATTCTCTCAAATAAAATCAATTCAAATATTTTTTCGATACATCCGAAAATCGTGAACGTTAACTCTGCCATACCTGACTTCTAGATACATGTAACTTATCGGTTTTTTTTGACGTTTCATTCAATCAATAAAACACTCCATGACTGCTAAGGTCAATTTACTTCTAGCATAAAAATGCGCAACAATTTTAATCAGAAAATATCAATGTAGCACTTTTGTCTGATTTACTTTGGTATTGTTTGATGGAATGCTACTCCGTCGACAACACAATATGCATCCATTTTTCAAATGATTATAGTTTAGGCTCAAAGCAGTGAAATCAAAACAGCAACGTAAAAATTGTATACACAAAAACGCAAGAAGCAAACTTGTAGAAACGAAAAACTAGTGCACTGTCATAAACATTCTAGATAAAGTATCTGCGCCGACTTCAGTCCCTCGAACTAGACATTGGTCATAATTTTGCCTGCGTTTGTCGGTGCGGGTGGGTATAGGTGTGTGGGCGATGTGGCTGTGGCTGTCACTCTTCTTTTAGCGTACACCCACACCAACACCCACACCCACACCCACACCCACACCCACACTCACACCCACACTCACACCCACACCCACACCCACAACCACACCCCACACCCCACACCCACACCCTAGTTGAAGAACTTTACCAACTGAATAGTTTTTCGTTCACAACTTCAGCATCTCGGTATTTTTCGGCATGAATTGAGGAACTGAATTTCGGTTTTCTTGATTCTCGTACAGTTCATTATTATTTCTTATTCGCGCCTCACAACAGGCTAATCTATCAGATTTGATTTCATCGAAGGCTATTCTTTGGAAGAGAAGACGTATTGGTGATATATTGAAGTTTAGTCATGGGATTGAACCTACTGATCTATGTTTCAGGAAAGTTCGGTAAAGATTAGAAAAGACTCGTTGGAGTTACTGTAATTTTAAATAATTGGTAGCTAGACTAACTTGAAAAACACTGTAATGTTAATTCGATGTTAACAGAACTCGGGGCTTCGCCGTTAGGCATCTTAACTCATGTTGGTAGATAGGTTTAGGAACAGAATACTCTAATCATGCTTGTTTGTGCAGTACCATAGATTCGTTTGCCGATTAGCGCTTTTGTTAGTTGCAGCGAAAGTTAGGTTTTGAAACGTCCTAGAAAGCAAAAGAAGTAGAAACAAGTTCTGAAAAATGAACTGCTGGAAAACATTATTTTACTATACTATCACAAAACTAAAGACATCAAATAGTGACTTTCGGTTCCAGTGGTGTACTTGAATAACTAGGATAACAGTTCCTAGGAGGAATACTACAAATGATCAGCATATCAAACAAATGCACAATAGGTCCAAACTTGAAAGATGAAAGATCTTAATCCCTTTCAAACAGCTGCTCAACACCTTCGTGTAAGGAACTGAATCAGAATTGTATTGGGTCTCCTGAGGCTTACTTAACATAGTTTTTTGTTAGACTGAAAATAGTATGGAGATTGAAGATATTTTTTATGTAGTGAAAACATATATTTATCAACATTTGTGTCAGTTTTTCTCATTATAATTCTCCATTCTATTGAGAATGAATATTCAACAATGCATTACTCAATCGAGTAACTCTCTTACATTTGAATCTTTGAAACAGTGAAAGCATGAGCTCACTCCTTAACTGCTCCAACTAATGTACCCCCAATTGGTAGGTAACGCATGCGTGCCTTGAAGTAAGACGAATGCTTCATTTTATACTTTTTTCCCGAGGAAAGATTTCAGAAGTACTGATCTTACAAAGGCTTGGTGTCATAGGTAGGAAACGATTCTTCTGACTTAGGAGAAGAGCTTTCAAAAGTAATTGATTTGTTATATTAAAGCGCACTTCGCTCCATCATCTACGTCTGATAACGGTACAAGGGTATAACTGCTAAACTAGGCATTGATTGAGTTAAAGCGTGATCTTGAAGACATCAGAGAACTTGACTTGATTGCTGTCCAAAGGAATTATGGTAGGCCAATTCCGATCGCACAGTTGCTTTTCAACGATTAAATGCAAAGTCTTCCTCCAACTATGCAAACTTGGCCACATGGAAATAATTGTCGAAAACGATATTTGATAAAAGAACTGTTATAGCCGATTTAATGATTACCTCAATGAATTTGCTAATGGAATCTATTCGGATTTTCTAAATTAATCTTTCGAATAAAAGAAATGTACAATTAACAAATCATTTCGATTCACTGAAGACTAACGTTTCCTGTGAAGTTAATTGCTGAATTCTCACACGTAAGTCGATTGGAATCCTCGCAGAAGCACTAAATGATAAGGATCAATTGATAAATGATTAAAATAAATGTAGAAAAATTCATAATCTATAAAGAAGTAGACATTCTTCATAGATTTTGAATTTTCTTTGATGAGTCGCTAATCTCTTAATCGATCGTCTTATTAACTTCCATGTTCGCGTCCTTTTTATTACTTGCGTTGCTTGGTCGAAACAAATCAAAGCCTTTTTTTATTTTATGGTACCTTTGCAGTATTACCAGTATACGCAACTCTGGAATTCACCGAGAAGCGTTCTCTGAAAAAAGAATATGTAGTTTCGCATAAATGCACTTATATCCTAAGTATTTCATAAGACTCGTTTTCGGATAGAATTAAATGAGTATTGTGATCATTTAAACTTCTGGAAAATTAGATTGGCATAGTATAAAGTGTAACGATAGTATTTCCTGTTTTATGGTGAAATGGTTATTAGACGACTCTGTTGAATGTAAAACCTTGGCGAAGTCATACATTCAACTTTAATCACATGTCTATAGTTTCGAAACATTCAATAGAGCTGCAGAAATGATTTCTTCCATCTAAAATGATTCTTTTGTTTATACATAGAGTGCATTTTTAACTTATAGACTAATTAGATTAAAATAATTATCACATGAACTGAAAAATTTGAGCTCGAATCTTTTTGCTTGTGATTTGACTAAAAAAGGAACATTCTTTTTTCAATACTGATAAAATCAAAAGCATCAATAAAATTTGAAAGATAAACACATTTTAGATGACTGGTTTTATTTGATGCTATGCTTTGAAATAATTGGTTCAATCTTATTG